AAATATTTGAAATGTGGACTTTCTTGTCAACGCTCATATGTATTTACTGGGGAAATACTGAAGATGCCAGACAAATTCAGAATAAAATCGAAGCTTTATAAAATTTCCAGATTAGTATGACAATTTAGCACTAACACTATTGCAATTCAGTACTAACACTGAGGATGAAAAAGTGAGCCAGAACCCACTTGAAGAAGAAGAGCTGTCTATTCAGTGGTGGGGATCTGAAGAGGAAAATAAACCTGCTAGCATTGGAGGGAGTGTCATGTCTTGATGCTCGGTCCTCTAGTAGGGGCTAACGTGCCTCTTCCCAGTTGTGAGAACATCTTGCTGGATCTCCCACCATTGCTAAGGTGGGAAGCTCAGGAGCATCAGCAGAAGGCTAGCAATATGGTTAAAATATTACAGACAAAGATGTACATGAAATGAAGGGAAATCAATCTCCAGTAAATTGACTCCAGTTCTCATAACAGTGCATCCTATAACCTTCATGGCACTTTGCTAATATAGAAAGGGGGTTATTTCACTCAGGAGAACATTGAAGCCTATGCTATCCTAGATTAATGACTGAATCTGTATTCTCTTTGCTACACCCCAAAAACCCAGTAGCTGGTTAAAAATATTCGAAACTGCAGTTAAGACGAGAAAGCATTTTGCAGAGCTAAGTTACGATTGGCTTTGTGAGATGCTATGTTTTGTCAAATTAGAAGAGCCATATGTGGTGGGAGCATAATTATCTGTATAAAATCTAAGAAGAAATGTACTCATTACTGTGTACTTGTGGGTGAAGACAGGACTTGCAGTTCTGCCTATAGCTAAGGTTGCCTGAAGCTTCAAGTCATATGACATGGTTTCAATACTTTTTAAATTCAAATACTTTAAATTACTATTTTGGCTACAATGCTCTGTGCTGGATTTCTGTTCTGTGCTGAATCCCAATCAGAAAGTTTCAGGTAAAAATAAAGAAGGCATGGACAAGAAGAGTTAAAGAACATGTGGTTGTCTGTGTAACACAAGATTTCTTGCAAGTGGGGGAGGAGGTGCCTGAGATACCACTTATCATACCTAAAATTCGTCAGCGGGTTGCCTATGTCCCATTGTTACTGTGGGGGAAGAAACAAGCGAAAAACAACATCCAAGGCTGTCCTGAAAAACTGTGTTATAGACATGAACTTCCACATTTGAAACATAACTCAGATGAAACAGGAGACAACAAATTCATAATAATTCAGACCAAAGAGATACTGAGAAGGAGTAAGACAAAATGACAGCAGTGAACATGTGCAAATGGTGTTAAAATGCGGCTCCAGGCTGAGAAGACCAATATGATGCCCAGCCTTTGTGCCTAAGGCTGTCTCCAATCAAATATTAACTCCACAGTTGTCTGCTATTCCCTTCTTTGCTGTATTTTAGATTCTGAATGATGGGAGAAGTGAAGGTGTTTCAAAAGGAAGCATTAATTAAGAATTTAAGTATATACCCAAATACAAATACCTATAGGTAATGACCCAAATATCAGAAGCTACAAAACAACTTTTTTTTTTTTTTTCACCAAGACCAAACCAAGAGATTTATATTTCATCTAAATCACTGGAGAAGTTCAGGGCTTCGGGTCAGTCTGCAAGAATGTTAGAAAACTTTAAAAGAAACTAAACAAATTTCATACAAAGCACAGTGCTTAGCATTGAGCGGTACAACTGTTTTATCAGTTTAAATTTAACTAATTAGCGTAATGTATAATTGATATGTTGGAAACAAAAAAACCATTCTCTACTATGAATCTCCTTGGTTTCATGTTTGAAACAACTGATCATTCTTTTTTTTTTTTGGTTTTATGTTCTGTTTTGTTTTAGCTTATGAAACATTGATGCAATAGGGCATGAAGACACAGTTTCAGATATCCATAATTTATTTCTGAGGCTAATAACGACTTATTTGTACCTTTTGAAAAGTGCCATTCCCACGTGCACAGATGTTCCATCCATACCCTTGTGAAGTGTTGAGATTTCCATCTGAATGCTGCTTGAAGTCTTGCTGTGATCTTTCTGCCAGGTTCAGCTTCAACTGTAATAAATGAACACATCTCAGAGAATTCAATGTGCAGAATGACTCATTTTATTATAAAACTGTTTATGGTGAATTGCTCTGAATTAGTTCTAGAATAATCCCACTCTGCCTGTTGACAGTGTGGCCATATCCTGCCTTCTGGCCCCAGATCCCCATCGCCCCCGGGACAATGAGTGTTTCTGCAACTAAACAGCCTGAGCTACTCTGACCTTTTTCATTTACAAGCAAATCTACTTTCTGGTTGGGTAAAATGGACACGAATTAGGCGGATTTGGAAATGATGATGTGACGACGTGATTTTAATGTAAGGAAAGCTTACACTGGCTCCTGTGGACAGAGAATGAGAGGGAGTGAGGAGGCCTGCCGGCGTGTAATTTGGGACCATGCCAACACAGGGGTCATAAAAACTCAGCACAAACTGCACTGAAAACACAGGTATTTGGTACTGTGGCTTGTGTCCACTCCTCCTAGACAATGAGCTTCCACGTAGTGCCGCACTTAGGAGAGTAGCTGCTGTAGGGAGTATTTCTATACAAATGACAAATTTCTGTTGTTTTTTTTTTTTTTTAACAGAAAACTGTGATCAATGTGGAAAATAACTGTTATTTCAAGATATGAGAGTAGTTCAGTATTTTTTCCAATAAGATCTTCTGAATACAATGTTGTATTTTTCCTATGTCTATTGGCTTTGTAAAAATAGTATTCACTTTTCCGTAACTTTAACAGAAATTACTCTTTATCCAAAAAATCTATTTATTTTAGAGATTTTCCCAACCGTAATGTGAAAATAAAAAAAATAAATCACAAGGCAGATACAGATATTGAAATACTCTTCAGACAGCCTGTGTCACTCTCCTTAGTTCTGATGAAGAACCAAATGAATCTTTTAACTCGTTTGATTCCTGCTCATTGAGTAAATCCATTATTTACAAGAAAGCAAACCTCTTAAAGAGGTTCCATTTCAGTGCATTTCTTCTTTGATTTAGAGATGTCATCTCAGAAATTGAGACACACAAGCTTCCCCTGGGCCTTGATCCATTCGAGCTTTCCTTTTGCTGTTAGGTGGTTAGAAGCTGATTATTCGTACTCACTTCCAGGGATCAAAGTAGGTTGACTTATCTGTGATATTCTATCTTCAGGTTCTTTTTATGTTTTGTTTTGTTTGGGTTTGGTTGGTGGGTTTTTTTGGGTGGGGAGGAGGGGGGCTATGACTATGTTTGGCATTTTCTGGTCTGGAAATGTTACTTACCTGCCAGGACTTATCAAAAATACTCTCCGGTGGTTCAGAGGTTGCTTTTGCTGTCTTCTCAGATATTGTAAATTGAATTCTCAAGGTCCTGGTGATGTAAAAGCATCGCTTTTATCTCAGTAATTTTAATTTGTGTTCTTCCTGTCCTGTTCAGCAGAAGTTGTACTGTCAAAGACCTGGTTGCAAACTTTTTGGGGAAGCCTGAATCCGAATACAGGTCACCAAATCCTCTGTGATGTAAAGAAGCAACTTTTGAAATGAAACCTAAAAGTACACTGCAGAAAAGTATGGTTTACTGCGTGCAAGAAATATGTACTTATTTTATCAGTGACAAGACGAGGGGCAATGCTTTTAAATAGAAAGAGGGAGATGGAGCTGAGCTGTGGGGAAGAACTTGTTTGGTGTGAGGGTGGTGAGAGCCTGGCCCAGGTTGGCCCGAGAAGCTGTGGCTGCCCCATCCCTGGAGGGGTTGAAGGGCAGGTTGGAGGGGGCTTGGAGCAGCCTGGTGTGGTGGGAGGTGTTTGACTAGATGGCCTTTAAAAATCCCTTCCAACCAAAACCATTCTATGAGTCTATTAAATTGACTGTGAGCATCTGATTCCCAGTTAAGAGCTTTTACTCTGACTCTTCACTCTTAAGATGATTGCCCAAGGGCCTTCCTTGTCTGGACGTTATCATCCCACCCAGGGAGTGGGTCTGGATGGTCTTGAAGGTCCCTTCCAACTCTAACCACGCTATGATTCTGTGATTAGGGTTCAGTTTGTTTCACAAATGTAGCAACCTCTCCTAAAACAGTCCCACTGCTATTATTTTAATTAAAAAAAAGAAACTTTAGATAGCATTAAGCATTCAAAAACACAGCGATGGGGCCACTAGTACATTGTGTTACAGTGAAAAAACAAGTTAACTATTTACAATTCCCCTTTTTTCTCTTTTTTTTTCCTCCTATTTCAAGACACGACACGCGTGTGACCGATGACCCGAGGTTTTTCCCCCGCACACGGGGAGGCACCGGCCGGGCCCTGCCGTTGCCGTTCGCGGGGGAGTCTGCGGGACCCACATCCGTTCCTTTGCCCCCCACCCCCCGCAAGGTCACCGCGGCCCGGACCCCCTCCTCCCCCAGAAGGTCGGGGTGTCCCCGGGGCTCCCGGGAAACTGCAGCATCACCGCCATGCCCC